GTTGTTACATTTTTAGTAAGAAAATAGTTTTTTAATATTTAAGTTTATGCATTTAAAACATAAGAAATATTTTAAATTTTAAGCTAACACTTTAACATATTGTAATTTAGCTTAATAAAACAATATAAGCTTACTATAATTAAAAAAAACAATAAAGTTTGAAGATTTATTCCATCTTTGAAAGAATATGACATGTTCATAAAAATTTGGAAACACAAACATAAAAGTACATAAAAGTGGAATTGAAACGAAAAAACTAAAACTGACCGAAAAAACCTGAATTTAAACATAAAAAGCTAATGAAAAATATCGTTAAACCAGACTCGCTAGAAGCAAAACCTAGCAAAAAAGGAGATGTCAGAAAAAAGATCGGATAAAAAAAAGATGGGCATAAAAAAAAGAGCAATGGAGACCATCTAAAATAGGTGGAAAGCAAACTATTCGTCGTCAGAAAAAACCGAATTATCGGAATGAAACTATTCGCTATCTGCTGCATTGTGCGGACATCCTACTAGTATATATATATATATATATATATATATATATATATATATATATATATATATATATATATATATATATATATATATATATTCATTTTGGATGATATATCGTCCTTGTAGCTTAAGAAGTCAAACGTTAGTGGTCAACCGATGACATGGCGTTCTTATAGGGTCCTTTATCGCGATGACTTGTGTTGCCCTTATAGGTTTTGGATGATATATCGATTTAATTTTTTTGGAATTTGTAGATACATGCCAAATTTAGTTTCACCCTAGGGTGGAAAGTCTTTAGAATCATCTTTGATTTAAGGATAAATTATACCGTTGATCCTTACGGTTTGGGATAACTTGCTTGTTTGATCGCTAGTTTTTTTTAACTCCAAACATTCCTAAATTATATTTTTGTTTCATTGTTGGTCCATATCTCGTATAAAAATATTATTTTACCTTTTACTATTTTATTTTTAATAGATTAATTATTATTTATAATTTTAAATAAAAAACGATAAAATCCGTGGATCCCACCCCTACCAAAAACATACTCTCTCTCTCTCTCTCTCTCTCTCTCTCAACAAACCAGATCTCTCCTCCTCCCCTGCATGAACTCCGGTGGAGTTTCACAGTGACAAATCGACCACTATTATTTCCCGTCTTCCAAGACATCTGTTGTAATCAGCTAAAATAATATGCAGCAGGAGCTTCCGAACATTAAGCAGTGGGTGTAGAGTTGATTTCCAGAAAAGAAAAAAAATTAGGTGGGTGCTCGAATCGGATTTCCTACGAGAATTTTTTTTGCAGGTGGGTCTCGAATCGGATTTCCAAAAATCAAACACTAGTGTTCTTTCTTAAAATTACAAATCTAAAGGCTTTTCAGCTTATTAACTTCTGTTCAGTTTGCGAGGAGAGTTTTCCTCATTATACTTATGAGTCGAAGGCACCAAGGTCGGCCCATTGGTTTGATAACCTGATATTCATTGATATGTTGAGTATGGAATAGATATGCATGCTAGTTTTTGATATGCTAGTCTAGTAGATCTTTAGGACTACCTGTGATACTATCTATATGATTATCTGTAGATGTTTTTATCTGTTATATGTCGACATATTGTGGTGGGTTGAGGTTGTACTGCTTCGTGCGGTAGCTAACAAGCCCTGGAGAATTCCAAATATGAGCTGAGGGTCGGGTTAGGCATGTCAGACTCATACTGAGGGCTCATGAGCATTCAAGATACGTACTGAGGACTGGGCGGTATATTAGAGTCGTACTGAGGGCTTGATAGTATTTCAGTCTAAGGACTAATCCGGTCGGGGAGCAAGCCAGTCATAAGTTGTGGGCCCCGAAGGTAAGCCAGACTTATGTTGTGGGCTCAAGGTTAATCCAGTCTTTTAGCAGTGGACCTGTTGCATGTTGTAATTGTATTTTTTGTCTCTTTGTGTGTTGGTACTATGGTGAATCTCACTAAGATTTGGGCTTACAGTTTTGGGTTATGTTTCAGGTACTTCAGATGATCGTGGGAAGGCGAAGGCGTGACCGTACACATCCTCGTGTTTTGACTTATGATTTAGGGAAAACTCTGATATTGAACATCATTTGAAAACTATGTTCTAAAAAATTTATGATTTTGGGTTGGTTTTAAAAGTTTAAATTTTCATGATTTTTTTATGGATGTTACAAATTTTTCCTAAAAACCATTCTAGAAATTAAACATAAATTATGTTTCTCTCATTTGTCGATATTTTGGTTTTGTAGGTTGCAAGAAATCTCTCGATCTGTTGATTTTATGGGTTTCAGTGGCAATGTGCATATGTACAGGTGACAGAGAGAGTGGTGGTGTTTCCGGCGAGATATAAGAGACGATAATGGGTATCAGAGGCAATGGTACGACGATGTCAGGGAAGCTACCCAGTTGTTTTGACGACATCTGAAATGATTATGGATATTGTTTGATTTCGTTCCTCCCCTTTCTTATTGTACACTAAGCATTAGAGTGTAGATCTGGCGACGATCCAGTGGTTCCGGAGGTGGTCCGATGGTGGTGGTGAGGTCCAATGGTCGTGTTGAAGTCCCAACAATTAGTAAACCAAAGATACATAGAAGAGACAAATAGGGAGAAGAGATAGAGGTTGTTGAGATTTTAGTGGTAGCGGTGGTGAGTTCCGGTGGTGGTGGTGTTAAGGTTCGGTGGTGTGGATGAGATCTTAAGTTATATTTTAGGAAGAGAAGAAATATAGAGAAGAGAGATAGATATTAGGGAATAGAGATACGTAGGAGATTAAAATCTATTGGAAGTAAATTATGAGTTTTTTTTATTTATAAATAATTATAAAATAATTAAAATAATTAAAAAAAGAAATTTAAAAGGGTGTGATCGCCGTTTTATGTTTATTAGAGACGAAAAAACAAAATAAAATGTTAAGGAATATCCGAGTGCAAAAAAAGGGACCAAAAATGAAATTTTTACAAAACATAAGAACTATTTCAGTAATTTGTTCTATTTTTTAATAGATTAATGACCAAATTTCACAACTGGTCCTGTGGTTTACAGAATATCGCACTTTGAGGATTTCCTAGCAAAAAGTCACACGATTGGTCCTTGTGGTTTGTAAAATTACATGAAAGGTCCTCCTGCCGTTAAATCTAACTTTTCAGTTGTTAGATTTTAATGAAAAAGACTATTTTGCCCTTGTACCAATATTTCAATACACTACAAACTTTAAGGACCATTCGTGTAATTTTCTAAATTTGAAATTTTATATATATAAAAATTATAAATTTCGCATTTTGTTTATATATAATTTATAAATATAAATTATATATATATATGTATATATATAATTTCAACAATTTGATAAATTCTTTTTATCTTTTTGACATTTTGTTTTCTATATTTATTTTATAGTTTTAGTTATTTATGGTTTTTTGTTATATTTTTATTTATTTTGAATCAAGTAAATAAACTTAAATTCGATAAACCATGTCGAAATTATTTTTTCGTTAATTTTTCTTATTTGTGAATTGAAGCGTTAATGTTTTTTTATTTTTTTATTTTTTTATTTTTTTTAAATTTTATGTCGTTACTGTTCATTATTTTTTATGTTCTATAGTTAATATCGTTAGCAGTTTTATGTTTGCATTTATCATTATCCTTATTTGACATTTTGTTTTCTATTTTTGTTATAATTTTAATTATTTATTATTCTTCTATTATTTTTATTTATTTTGATTCAAGTAATGAAAAATAAAAAAACAAAAAACAAAAACTCAAACACCAAATTCTAATATACTCTAATATATTAATACATTTTGCATTTTCATCTTTTTTTGGTTTTTTCGTATTTTTTTTTAAATTTTTTAGTATTATTTTTTAAATTTTTTCATATTATTTTTTAATTACTTCTTTTTTTTCGTTGTTTCGTTTTATTTTTCATCAACTTGATAACTTTTTTTTGAACTTTTCCAAAAAGTGTAAAATGTATGATTATATTAGAGTATATTACAGTTTTGGTGTTTGAGTTTTTTTAGTTTTTTTTCTTTTTACAATTTTGGTTATTTATGGTTTTTGTAACTTTTTTTTATTTTGATTCGCGTAAATAAAATAGTTATACTTACAAATATAAATAAAGCAAATAAACATAACTTTTTTATTTACACAAATCAAAATAAATAAAAAAGTTACGAAAACCATAAATAACCAAAAATAATAAAAAAAATGCGAAAAAAAACAAAAAAAATATGAAAAGTGTAAAATGTATTAATATATTAGAGTATTTTACAACTTTGGTGTTTGAGTTTTTTTTTTCTATTTTTCATTACTTGAATCAAAATAAATAAAAATAGTAGAAGAATAATAAATAACTAAATATATATATAAAAAAACAACAAAAGGTGAAAAATGATAATGATAAATGCAAAACATAAAGTTGCTAACGATATTAACTATGAAACACCAAAGTAAAAAAAAAACGTAACAACATAAAATAAAAAAAAGCACTAACGTTTCATTTCATAATTAAGAAAAAAAGGTTTCGATATGGTTTATCGAATTTAAGTTTATTTACTTTAATCAAAATAAATAAAAACATTAAAAAACCATAAATAATTAAAATTATAAAATAAAAATAGAAAACAAAATGTCAAAAAGATTAAAAAAAAGTTATCAAGTTGTTGATATATATATATATATATATATATATATATATACGGAATTTATATTTATAATTTATATATATACAAAATTTCAAATTTATAAATTTACAAGAAATGGTCATTGTGGTTTGTAATGTATTGCAATATTGGTACAAGGGTAAAATAGTTTTTTCCATTAAAATCTAACAGCTGAAAAGTTAGATTTAACGGCAGAAGGACCTTTCAAGTAATTTTACAAACCATAAGGACCACTAGCATCTTTTTGCTAGGAAGTTTTTAAAGTGTAATATTCTGTAAACGTTTACAGACCAATTGTGAAATTTTGTCTTGATTAATCATTGATAAAATCCATGGATCCACCCCAACCAAAACAAACTTCTCTCTCTCGTCGTTATCATCTCAGTAAACCAGATCTCTCCCCGGTGGAGTTTCACAGTGACAAATCGACCATCGTTCTTTCCATCTTCCAAGACATCCATTTGTTGTAATCAGCTAAAATGCAGCAGGAGCTTCCGAACATTAACCAGTGGGTGTCGAGTTGATTTCCGGCAACAAAAAAATTGCGGGTGGGTCTCGAATCGGATTTCCGACGAGAAATGTTTTGCAGGTGGGTCTCGAATCGGATTTCCAAAAATCAAACACTATTGTTCTTTCTTAAAATTGCAAATCTAAAGGCTTTGACTTTTAACTAAAAAATCGAACGAGGATTTATTGCCTGCATTCTGCCACAACTTTGAAATTTGGAGAGGTTAAACTTCAAACCAAAATTAAATTGTAGAACAGATCTGAAAGTTGGAACTCTGATTTCTTCCCCGTCTTATCTTCTTTCCCAGTTCAATTCCTGCGATTTCTGTAAATCGTGGCTGATTCACAAGCTTTTAGCATAATCGCCTTTGTGTTCTTTGTCGTTGCTAATATGATTTTACAGCAGGTGGGGAAGGCATTGAAGGTGTTCAATTTGTTGCATTGATTTACTGTGAAGGCTTTCACAAACACCCTCAATCGATGGCGTTTGGGAGATTTTACACTAGTAAGAGCATTGCAGTTAGTAGGTGTTTACAGGAGGGTCGAATGTGTTATAGAGTGGTTTGTGAAAGGTAAGAAAATAAATCAGCTATAAAATAATAAATAAACCATTAAAAAAAATTTAAAAGCAAATAAGTCATTTTAAATCGACGTGAAACAAAAACAAATTATTGGAATGGTACGAGTTAAAAAAATAAATGGTACGAGTTATAAAAAAATAAACGTTTTAAATACCAAACATGTAAATTAACCGAAACAATAAGAGACCATTGTTGTAATTTATCCTTTAGTTTAATAAAATCTCTCTTTGGGATTCTTGAAGAATTATTGTTCTATTACAGGTATCTCGTGGATATCTGAATTAGATTATGTGTTTGACGGGTTTTTGCCATTGAAGTTCAAGTTTCTAATTTGGGATAGTTTGCTTCTAAGTTGTAACACCTCTCCCACGGTGATTTATGTTCTAAATATTTTACATTGGAATGTGTTAATGCATGTATTGTTTTCCAGCTAAAACTAACATGGAACGTGACAGAGAATAACATATTATGTTTGGTTTGTAGGAAATAAATTTGGAATAATGCAAAATAAAAAAAAAATTGTCATTTTTGTTTTTGTTTAATTTTTCTTTGTTTTATAACTTATATGCAAAGATATATTATATAATTTATAAAAATAGTAAATAGTGGTAGCCATGTTGGTGGTGGCAATGGGTCGTGGTAATTGTGGTGGTGGTGATGGACAGTGGTGGATGCTTTAAGGGGCCAGGGGAGGCCATAGCATGGCCCCTCCGCTTTTTTTCCTAAAGAGTAATACATGTTACAAGCTTAAAATCAGAGACATATCTTGCCAAAAGAATAAGTTTCCTATTGCAGCAATCAACTGGGGTCTCCTTTTCTTATCAGACAACAAGAGAGAAAATTTTGAGCTACATAACTTAATAATCTAAACCCCAATTCAAAATTTACAAATTCTATCGAAATTTCAAAAAGTTTAAACTCCTCTAATCTAGGAAAAAAACCCACAACGCCCTGTTTTATCTAAACTTTAGAAAGCCCGCAAAAAATTGAGAAAGTAATGCTATAAAGTAAAAACTAAGAAACTCTATTAACACCTCCGATTGCCCGTAGTTCCTTGTTAATGACGCAAGTCATTCATGAATGATGAAACCCTTGCTCCCCATCGCCTTATTTTTTTGACCGAGCCTGCATCTCGCCCATCTCGTCTTTGAGGTCTCGCCGTCACTGTATGAACATTCCGCTCTATCTCTCGGTATGCTATTGACTTTCTATTTGATTGTGTTTTCTTTTTATTAAAGGAATAGGATATATGAAAAGTTTTGTCTTTTTCACCTATTTTAAGTATTGTGAAGGTAGAAAGCTAGAAGGTTCCAGTTTTTATCAGGATTGCTTTTCCTTTTTGCTATAATGTGTTGTGATTTGTGAATACTGAAATTATCAAGATACTTCTTATTTATACCTCTTTTATAATTGTATTTACATAATCAAAATATGAGTTAATATGTTCATAATAGTTTACGACGTTTTCTTGCTTTAGAATTGCTTTTTTATGTGTGTCGTTTTGAGCATGTGTGTCATTTGTGTTGTACAAAAGAAAAAACTCTTCAAATACAACGAATGAAGATCTACAAATTTGTTTTGAAAAACATAAAAACTAGTACGGAATAAATATATAATATAGTCTTTTTCTTTATTTTGGATAAGATTTGACCTGTTAATTTTATAGTTTGCGAAACTACTTAAATTATTTTCCCAATGCAAAACCCGATAAAATTAATATTCAAAGTAGATTTGAAATAAAACCAAACTAGTAGTGTATTTCATTAAGATATCTCTCGGCCCTCTAGTTTAGATGTTCGTGTTCCGCCCCTGGTGATGGAGGTGGCGGTAGTGAAGGTGGTGGTAGTTGTGGTGGTGGTGATGGAGGTGGTTGTTGCGAAGGTAGTGGTGGTGGCGTTGATGGTGGTAGTGGTGGGTGGTGGTGGGAAGTGGCGAAGGTGATCGGTAATGGTGGTGGTGACGGTGACAAAGGTGGTGGGTGGGGAGTGGTGGCTACGATGGTAACTAGTGACAGTGGTGGTGGTGTTAGCAGAGGTGGTGACAGTGGTGGTCAGATGTTTGTGGGGGAGGTGATGGTGGTAGGTAGCGGTAGAAGGGTTTCATATGTAGTGTTAAAAATAAAAAAGATAATATGGTAATCTTTAACATTTGCACTTGAAAGGAATTCTAATTCCCTCATCTTTTGGATGGAATTTACTTCACTCAATTGAAGGAAAGTTTGACTCCTTGGGAATTCAATTCCTAATGAAAGCTTGAACCAAACATAGGAAAATTATGGGACTTATTCCAATTCCTTCTAATTCTAGAGAATTCCAACAAACCAAACACCATCATACTTTCCTACTACAAGGACCGGAAACAGGAAAGGTGAGGAGACACAAGAAAGGTTAACATGTTAGTTTTTAAATATACAAAATATAAGGACCAAATTTTATTTTATTTTTATTTTTGGCAAATGTATATTTATCAAAGTACTATTATTTGGTAAGTATTCTAGCCTTCTTATTTACCATATTTCAATTAAAGATTCCACTTCTACAACTCTTTTTTGCTAGAATTTCTAAAATAGTTATATTCAAGGTTGTAGAACTCGTTACTCGGTACCTGTTCGGCCGACTATCGAGTAGCGAGTACTCGGGAGTACTCGGATTTGGTAATTCATGTAGAAATATTTTTAGGGAAATTATATATGTCAAAAACATAAGTTAAAATCATAAGTTGATTGAAATATATAACAAAATTAGATAAATGTGAATACACAAAAACTAAAAAACACATAATGGTTTCACTTCGTGAATAATTACTGAAAATTTAGGATATATATATATATATATATATATATATATATATATATATATATATATATATAGTAATAATCACATGTGTGTGTGTTAAATAATAAATCATTAAGTATATTATACATATTAATTACCGAGTTGACCGAGTTTTACAACACTACTCAGTTCAGTAAGGGTCCGATCAGGGAGTACTCGAGATTCTGTAACTCGCCTCGGAAAGGGGTTTTACAACACTGGTTATATTACTTTCAATCTCTTCTCTTATCTTCTCTATATTAATAAAAGAGTAGTTCTTTTGTCACGTGTCATCTTTTTAGGCCTTCTAATTAATGTCATGCCATTTGTCAACCTATTGATTCACCATTTCAAATTTTAAATTTTAAATTTCTCATTCTAGATACATTAAATTAATAATATTAGAATAAAAGTTAAAATAAATTTAATACATATTATAATGTGATATAATTTCACGTATTTATTTGAATCAACGATTATAATTTATATAACTAAAAAATATTTATTAATTAAATTTTTTTTTAAATAGTTATTAATAATTTTGAGTTTTTTTTACTATAAAACTTTAATTAATTTTATAACTGCGGTTTCTATGAGTTATAAACTTGTCATTTAATAATTATAGTCGTAATAACTTATTATAAAGAATATTTTAAAGTCGATACCACAATAATTTATTTGAAAGAATATTTCTATCTATAAAAGATATGAGACAAGTCACCAGCATGACCCATCATTTAACGAATATAGTGAAATGCATAGAAACAAGAAGATTTAACTTTTTTTCTTTTTTAAAGAAGAGAATTATTTCATTAAACAAGCCTAGGATGCGGGCAAATATTACAGTATAAAGAGAATGAAGATTAATCAAGGGAGGAATTTATCCCAAATGGGCCCAATCCCAACTAGTAAAATAGATACACGACCTCCTATCTACACTTAAAAGAACGTGTATTGAAATTTTATATACTTAGAAAAAAAAATGGGGCCCAACATCGATTCTATCATTTTATGACGTGGACGAAGTTTCTTGATTGGGTTGTGCTATAAGTACCCTTTAACTGATTTTACCCCCTATCATCAACCTAATCAACCTTTTACATTTGATTTGACATCATTGTTTTTCTTTTTGTTTTTTTTTTGTTTTTGTTTTTTTGTTGTTTTTTCTTTTATTAATAATAATAATAATAATACTATTATTATTATTATTATTATTATTATTATAAATTTCGATAACCATATAAAATTCGGACAACATTTTCAACATTATAAATTCGGACGACATTATAAAATTTCAACGACTATATAAAATGGAACAAAAGTAAAGTTTGTTTCCAATCCGCATAACGCACCACGCAAATGTAATAACGAACCAATTAATATATCCGTGATAAATAAAGACAAAATTTGTTTTTGTTCTGTTTTATATTGTCGTTTGAATTTTATTATGTCGTCCAAATTTATAATCTCGTACGAATTTTAAAATTTCATCTGAATTTATAATGTCATCGGATTTTAAAAGCCGATTTATAAAATATAAATTAAAAAAGAATTAAAAACCGATTTTATATAGTTGTTCAAATTTATAATGTCATCCGATATATAAAACGTTGTTCGAAATTTATAATAATAATAATAATAATAATAATAGTAATATATAATAAAAAATAATTAAAAACCGATTTTATATAGCCGTTCGAATTTTATAACGTCGTCCGAATTATAAAATTTTGTTCGAAATTTATAATAATAATAATAATAATAATTAAAAACAACAAAAAAACAAAACAAAAAACAACAAAAGACAAAAAATCAAATCAAGGGGGTGGAATTGGAAAAGGGAGGGGTACTTATAGAAAACTCATTCTTGATTTCATAATGTTCGATTTTTCAAATTTATTAATATTCAAGTTTAGCCCTTAAATTTATAAGAGTTTCCAAAAAAAAAAAAAAAACTCCGATTTTATAATTTATATATTAAATTCTTAAATTTTTATTGATTTTTAAAAAATTAACAAATGGGAAATGTTAACTTTAAGTGCGGTTTGAACTATTGATATACATAATTGGAATAAACCAATTTGGTTTACGATGAAATCTAGAAATCGTTTGTTGATCCAATTTAAGTATCTCTACAAGATAGACATCGACTGAAAAGTAATGGCAACAAGTGATTCAATAGTTCATGATATAAAATTATTGGCCGTAAAGATACATAGAATACAAATTTGTTTCGAACATCGAGAGAATCAAAAGCGCCCCTTCTTTCAAAGAGAAAGAAAAGGATATCGGACGTTATTAACTATACCATTAAACAAATCTAGTAATTATGTCCACAATGGTACCCATAATAGATACTATTGGTGTTTGTTTCATATCTAATACATTGATGAAATAATAATTTTGAAGTAAAAAAGAAGCTAAGGTGGAATGGTTTTTATAAAGAGTTATATTGGTTTCTACTATACATTGTATAACACGATAATATTTTGATAAATTAAAACATAAATAAATATTTTATGACTGTTATTGTTTTAGAGCCTTATAACTTTCTGTTCTCATCTATTCTTAATAAAAGACTCCTTAAACCGCCATGTGTCCCTTTTTTAGACCTTCATGATGCCACGTGTCATTATATAAACCATCGTTAAACTTTTTTCCCGCTCAAAATTTTTGACTTGCTCTGCTCTATTCAATTTTAATAATCTTGCAAC